TCTCCACAACCTGGTTGCTCATACGCAGTACGACATAGCCCTGATTACGAACGGGGGGAAACAGATACACCGAGTGAAGAGGAAATTCTGATACCCCGCGGTGAAACCCCTGGGAGAAAAGAAGATATGCCCCCAGATTAAAGCAAGGCAAACGTTTTCGTTGGTCCAGAGAAATAAAAGATGATTTGAGGGTCGAATTTGATGAGGAGATTAACAACTGTAAATTACCTGGATTTGATAGGATAAGGCAGGGGTGTAGAAAGTTATCGAATAAGCATAAATCCCTCCAAAACTATGAGCCCAAAATTGGTCAGGGGGGCAATAATAATCAAAATATTATTCAATAATATTTAATAATCAATAATATTATTCAACAGTTAAAAAAGTTTATTATTAATCAGATGTCTTTTTGCAGATTACAACGTGCACCGTGGTTTTTTTTATCTGTATATTATGTACATATATATTTTTTCTGTGAATATTTTGTCAATATTTTAAATTGATTAATTATTTAGTATTATTTTCCTTCAATAGGTTGTTGTATTACGTTTATTTGTTTGTTGTTGTATTTCTTGTTATTTGCTATTATTTATCACATTCCATACGCGGCGACAACCAAAAAAGTCAGTTTCCTCAAAATATTAATTTTTCTCCGTTTATGAAATGTAATGAATAATAAGATAAAAAGCATTCTCTTTTATTAATCATCTAGGAATTGCATTGCGTTGAGCGCTGAAATGAATTAGATGTTCACAGCACCCGGAGCCCAACCTCGGTGGTTGGACATAAAAGACCCGAGGTCTGACCACGGTCTGCCAACACCCGAGGTGGGTGATTCTCCAGGCCTGCCGGTAATGTGTTGCATAAACTGGAATTTACACAAAAAAATTTATTATTAATCAGATGTCTTTTTGCAGATTACAACATGCACCTTGGTTTTTTATTTATTAGAAGCTTTTTATTTAAAAATGATAAAAATAAAATACTTATGTCTATGTGTAATATATACATAAAAATTATAAATCTGTATGGGAATACAAATTTTTCATGAATTTTTTATTTGTAAATATATAATGTTGTTTACGTTTTTCATAGTTTTTATTTCTTTATTATTCCCAATTCACTTTGCCATGCATCTATGCACAAAAAAAAAAAAAAAATTTGAGTGTAAATGATGAAAGTTTTATATTCAAAAAATTACATAATTATACTTGAACTTTTGCAGGTGTGAACGAAACTTTATTTAAAAATTTCTTTTCCAAATCTAAAGAGAAAGTTTTTGTAAATAATTTTGTATAAATCTTTTTTATAACATAAAAATAGAGAAAATGAAATATTAAAAAATGCACTCTTGGCGAAGATGGCAATTAGACATGTATCTATTGTAATAAAACTTTTTCCTCATTTGTTACAGAAGTAATATATGGTAGCAAGATAAACATTTATTTTATTTTTAATCTTAATAAGATCATAAGGGAAACATTTAAAATTTTTCTGACTACTTTCGTTTAGATCGGTTTAAAAATTAGTACAAAATGAATTGGAACTCGTTTTCCGAAACAGAAACGTTCTCAGAACGCACACTAACGTTTGACGGGGATTTTGTTCTTATGGTTAAGAGCGGAATTGAGAAAACAAGTTTAAAAGACATTATAAATGACTTAATTGGGTAATCTTCGTGAGCTGTGGAAAATGTTGAAATTTTTTCAGACTGCATCAAATTCGATACAAGAGAAAAAGTGGAGGAAAACTCTTAAAGATTTTCTATTTTATCATGTAGGTCAGTTCAAAACTAGCAAAAACACGGAAGTAAGAAAATCCATCTCGGAGATATAAGAAAAAAAGCGGAGGAAAACTCAGAAAATTTTTTTGACTTGTTTCCCATCTGGTACGATCCAAAACTAACGGAAAAACGTTGGAAGTAAGAAAAAACATCGAGCTGTCTACGAGATATAAGAGGAAAAGCGGAGGAAAACTCGGAAAAAAATTTTGACTCGTTTCTCATCTAGTACGATCCAAAACTAACAGAAAACCGTTGGAAGTAAAAAAATCCATCAAGCTGTCTACGAGATATAAGAGGAAAAGCGGAGGAAAATGTTGTGTCGATGCCTAGGGTAAATAGTTGTAAATTGTTGTAAAAAATTGTACAACACAGAAAATATCTCTGAAATCGTCAGTATATATCGGGCTGAATACTGGACAGCAAGGAAACTTGAATAATGCACACTATGTGCACTATTAAGGCAAAAAACGTTCTGAAAACTGCACTCTTAATACTGCACATCGTGTGCAGTTTACGGGCGTTGAAAATATTTTTGTCCAGTATTCAAGCGTTTAACATACCTAAATATATCGTAGAGTATTTATTGTAGAGAAATCATTACGGAGTCAATGCTTATATTTGAGTTTGTAGGTTCTCTCTCCTCTATTGCAATAATACATAATAATAACTATATAAATGACTGTATTTATTGGCGAGAATGGTTGTGAAGTCGACTGTGGCGGAATGTCAAATGCCTGAGTAACCGTTAATAAATATTTGTATGAAAGGAAGGGCTAAAGCATAACACTTAACATTGAAAACCTTGCGACTACCTATGTGTAAATGTATTTATAAGTGTGAAAGGTTTTATGTGTATATGAGTGTGTGAGAGAGAGAAAAACAAAGAGAAAGAGGGGTAATTTTTTTTTGTGAATGTGCATATTGTGACATACATGGTGGCTCCCTGACTTTTAATTGTAGATACGGTTTGAAAGATTCTATGGTGTATCAATGTTACTAACACCCTGCTGGCCTATAACTTTTATAATAGTTTTAAGGTTAATTATATATGTTGAGTAGATGACCATTGTGACTAACTTTGTTTGAAGATTGTGATGCTCGCTCAGGTAGATATAGTATAAAAGAAAAAAAAACCCAATTTCTAAGTGTTTTTGCAAATTTATTGACATCCTCAAGGCAGGACTAATTGAGCTTTTCAGTCAATCTTCCAAGTTTGAAGGTTTAGCCATAATTCTGCTTTATTTCTTATTTACAGACAATTAATCACATGCAGATACAGATTCAACCAAGGGCCGGCGGGCAAAGAATCCATGTCACATCTAGAAGAGATGGATCACCTAACCATTTTTCATGAGCACCATTCAGGATATACTCGTAATAAGGAACAAATATTTAATTGTAGATATGGGTTGAAAGGTTTTCCCATATGAATGTATTTATTGGTGTGAATGCAAGAGCTTCAAGTATACGAACATCATGCTGGCCTAAAACTTTTATATCATTTTTAAGGTGGCCCTAGACATGCAGGATTCACCAAATGCCAAGCAAAGGTACACCGAATCCTGGCTAGTGAGGACAGGTGCACGGTTATTCACCAAGCAACAATATTCAGTGCTTGCCTTGCTCGGCTAATTGTTGGTTTTTTTGTCCTGTTCAAAATTCATGAATTAGCCGAATTCCAAGCATTCAAACATTTGGGAATCAACTGTATTCCACGTAAATCATCTATCAACAGTATCTACTTCTATTTACTACTATTTATTTTTCAATAATAAACAATTTCTAACCAGTATAGATGTATTGATGAAAAACAACAGTTGTTTCTGTTGGTGTGGTACGGATTGGCCCTACAATAATCCAAATCACAAAAATCTGTACAACTTCCATGCATGGAAATGGATCGAAAGTAAGATAGTGCAACGGTATTTTGTGACTGAGTTGACAAACACTTTGGATCAGGTTATGGTCGTAAAGAAGAAAAAAAATTCAGTTGTTACTGGCAAGTTTTCTACCTATTTTAAGGTCATCATCTGGGGAAAACAATATTAAATATGTCGATAGATCAACATATTTAAATTGTTTACAGATGATCTCAAATTTCCTTTAAGACTGACTCTGTCCTAACATTGCCAAGGGCTAATGTAACGTATTGGGGGCATCAGTGGCCGCAAGGGTTCGTCGTTGACACAGCGCTCATCACTGTAAGGTAAAGGTCCCAAGTTCGAATCCAGCGGCCCTGCATTTGAACCCGACATACTTACAAATGGGCTTTTTTTTTAAAAACACCGGCACCCTGAGGGTTTATATTACCTCTGCTGTCGTGAACCCTCATAAAAGAAAAAAAAATGTTATGTATCGGTCACTAATGTATCCAATCACAGTTCTTAAAATAGATTGAAAGCTTGGCAGTAACAAGTGTGTTTTCTTCTTCAAGACCATACCTTTATCCAGTGTTTCTGAATAAAAAAGTGGTCAATATTTCTAATAATGAAAACAAAACAGTAGCTGCAGCTCCAGCAATGACAGTTTTACTGTTGTCCATCACAGTTGGTAGTAATTTGAGAACTCACATATTTGACAAATACGTATTTCCTGTTTCCGCACAAACTGGGTGGTTGTACAAACCCCGCATGTGTATATTCAAAGGCACGCTATTTGGTGAATGCCAAGACGAGCATCTCAAGAGACCGCATGTCTGGAGCCACCTTTAGGGGGCGGCTACTCAGAGGTATTTCGACTACTCCGAAACCCACTGAAGTTAGATTAGGTTATTATTCGTAAAATGATGAATGTGTAAATGTTATTATGTATGTAATATAAAATTAGGACACATAGCCACAAGTGACATGTGGAAGGGTTACGTATTGGAAATAGCAAGAAATCTTGTCACATCATAAGATCATCTGGCTGTTCTTCACGAGTGCCATTCAGCAGAGAACTCATAATAAGAACACACACACACGCGCGCGCGTGCAAACAAACATGAGATGAAAAAAATGTGAGGAGCTGGCAAGTAGTCAGCCAGGCAGAAAAAAAGTAACTTTATAAACATCAATTTACATGCATATATGTGCTATATAAATGTATATAGATACACATATTTTTTTAAAAATCAAATTCAATATTTGTATGTAAACATAAAATAATTATCACTTAAAACTAAAATGTGAACATAATTTGTACATTTAACAGTTTTTGTTTTAATGAAAGGTTTAAGAAAAGCATCAATTAAAATTATTTAATATATATTGTACAGTATTGAATATCTTACTCCAATCAGGTCAGTACAAGAATAACAATTTATTAGTTTATTTCAAGAAAGAGATTAAGTACACCAATTTTTACATTAACTCCATATTGTGCACATTTATTAATAAAAACATATACCTTTTACAAAATGAAACATGTTAATAAGCACTTATGTAAATGAATAAAAACACATATGATTACTTTATAAAAAACACGGAACGACTATTATAGTTGTAAATTGTGCAAATTATGTATATAACAGTATATTGAGACAGGAACATTCAAATTATATATGCAGATTATTATAGAAATTGAATCAAATGTCATTCACTATGGAAAACGATGTAAAATTAAAAATATAATTTCAAAAAAACTTATCTCCTTTTGTTATCACACGCATTCAAATGTTCATTTTTCACCCTGTATACTTTGAAATGTCAACACACATAGAAATTTAAAAACTTGAGAGAGAAAGCCTGCTTTCTCCAATCAAAATACAAATCTCACAAAATGAGAAATTGATAAGAGGAACTAAGTGAAGAGGCAAACATCAACCTTTTTTATTTTATTTTTTGCAGATGAGACACAGAAGTGCAATAAAGTCTGTGAAGAATAATAAATCGGTTTTAATTGTCAGTGCAATACAGTATTCAACACAGTCAATAACCTAATGTATGCGTGTTCATATGAAAGAGAAGATTCCCTTTGAGAGGAAAAGACTTCAAACAGACATGGCACGTATAATTGTTTTGCGAGTGTATCGGCGGTGGAGGGTGAGGCACTATTAATTGTCCTTGCACCTGTTGGTGCGCCTCACCGGGTTGGTGCGCCTGCAGCTGAGACAGCGAAGACTGAGAAGGTACGGAGTGCTGTGGAGTATGATGACGTATATGATTCGCCAAGTGATCACGCCTCGTAAATGATTTTGGGCAGAAATGGCATTTGTACGGCGATTCACCTATTTCAAAAATTCGGTTTTGTTTCAAACTCAAGACTTATTTGTAAATTATTTTATTAAATTTTAAGTAAGGTATTTTACATCAGATTTAATTACAAAAAAAAATACAGAACAGGCAAACGCTACATAAGCAAAATTACTATTTGGAAAAATAAAAACATGCGTGATAAATGCAATCTTTTCAAGGAAAACTACCATAAGAAATCTTATGAATTATTTTATTATGATATTTTAAATACGTTAACTCAAGACAAGATAGAATACTTCAATGAAAATTATTATAAATCACAATTTCATTCAAAATCACAAATTCAGATGTTTTATTGGGAGGGAAAATCTTTAAAACAGTTGAATTCAAAAGATTTCTCTAAATACAATCTTAAATAATTGTAATAAACTATTTAAAAGCAGCAACCCTGGCAAATGGTTTCTCAAGTAAGCAAAATGTGCCTTTTTGTTTTCTACCTTACCTTGTAAAGATTGAACAGATAGAAAATCGATAATTAAACTACATATATGAATATATAATTTTTCCACTTAAAACCATGCAAAATAAATTTGAAAAAAATATGGTGTACTAAAATCATCCAGAATAGGAAGATGAGCATGCCAATGTCATCTTTGATTATCGTGATCACAATGTTTTTTAGAACAGTAAAAAATATGAATGTGAAAATTTCCATACCGATCTTCCTATTGTACTTTGTTAACTTTAGCTTGAATTTCACAGCAGAGATATTAATGTTAAAACATAGAAATTAGTACATTTTGATCTGATAAGTAGTCAAATTGTCTAATCTATTTTTTTTAAAGCCTATATTAACAATTCATAAAAGTTTCAAAGGAAAAAAGAAATTACAAACTTCTAAGCTCTAAAATCATAAAATATATATTTTTCATTGACATAACAATAAAATAAAAGTTAATGATGCAAAATAAAATAAGCTATATTTACATAACCATTAATTCAGAAACTAATTACATTAAGATAATAATATGTTAGTATAACTGGATATACAATTTCACTTTTATAGGTACATACATTTAGCACTATTGCCCCTTTGTTAAAATTTAAATTAACTTTACTCTTCCATTTATGAACTTAAAAATCTTAAAAACCTTTCAAAACTGAATCTACAAAAAAAAAACCTTTACCATTAATTTGGTCATTTCCTATTATCCTGGTCAGTCCTGATGATGATCCTCTTTCAGAAGTGGGTGAAATTAACTGACCACACTCTTACCCAAACCAGCAGGGATTTGAAGATCAGGATGAACAGGAATGACTAAATTACAAGATTGTCAACCCAAAGTACTCGACAAGAAATCTCACAAATAAAACCTTTATCGACAAAAATGAAAATTAAAAGTAAAGAATGTAGTATAAAATTTTTTTTATAATTCTACAAGATTGTAACATTATTTAATGACAACCAGTTTTAAAAAAATCATAAAATCAAATTTTTTACCATAACATAACCTTCAAAATATGCATGGTATATTATATTTTGTAAACTGATAAAATAAATGCTAAGATGTTTCTGGTCCTTCTGACTGAACTAAAATTTCAACCGTACGCTCTGGCTTTTTAGATTTAGATTTTGTTTTCGGCACAACTTCCCCTAGAAAAAGAAAAAGAAATAAAAAATAAAAACCATATAAAATAATAAAAAGTAAGTAATTAAATACTGATGGCCCAATTATATGACTAAATAACAAAGATTTTTGTTAGAATATGATTAAAAATAATATTTATATAAACCCTAAGGAAGTGTGTGCTTAACAATTTGATTTTAACTTGCATAAATAAATTTTTCCTGTATTTATTATATACATGAATGATTTAATAAGCTAAATATTAGGGTGACTAAAAAAAATATAAAAAATAAAAAATCAGTGTTTTTTATCTTTACTAAAGGTTAATTGAATTTATTCGTCTCTACCAATGTTACTGAAATCATTTCAATCATGTCAATTTCAATTTATCATTTTGTAAACATAATGCCCCCCAATTGCTCAGCATTTATTTCATACAATAAATGAAATTGTCATATCTGTGATTAGGGAAGAAAATTTACAGCCACCAACAGTTTACATTTAGTCAATGTTTGGTGGAAGTTAGAAATACAAGCCTACAAAGCATTTAAGATTCAGGGCAATTGGCTGTAGCAAAAAAGTAAGGCACCTAAACTTAAAAAATGTTTTCAAACAATCTTTTTTTTAATAATCTTACACATGAAAGAGAAAGTGTAAGAAGTCAAGCTGGCCTCACTCCAAAATCATTTAATGGGAAGATGCTCAGTATAATACAACATACGAAGAAATTCCCAAAAATGGATGTGTGCTTCTACTGCATCCACCCTAATTTTTTCTCCTTCACACTTTCCTTCTTTTCACCACATTCCTTCTGAGAAATGTAGAAGAAGAAATGTGTTTATTAATTTTTTGAATACAATATACAATATCATATAATATCCAAACTAGAGCATGAACATTAAGTTCATTTGCCGACAAATGACCTTTAAAAAGAAAAAACATTTCATATATTGAAAGGCGTAATAGCATTACTGGGCTTGAGTTTTTGTGGTCTTTTTTTGACGCAAATTTAAAATTCTACACTGACTTTTTTTGATCTATTAATCCATATAAAAGCAAAATTAAAATTACATTAAAAGCAATATTATATAATAAATTTGATTTTAATAATAAGTTTTAATCTAATACCTTTCATGAGTAGATTATTAATACAGCATCAAAATATTTTTTAAATTAGTAAAATAACAATGATTTTAACATCTTTGTTAAGCAACCTTAAGAAATGGAAGTTATATGATAAAAAATGTGTGTTGACTTTTTGTAAATTGTAATTTCCTTTTCATTAATTGAGAAAATTACTTTTTGCGGTTTTCATTTCATGGAACCGTTGCCAAGAATATAGTACATTTATGTAAATATTTATAAATTTACTTTTACCCTTTTGTAACTTTTTTTAATGTTTATAAAACATATTATAATGTGAAACAAACTTATACAATATCAAACAAAACTATTTATGACATTGATTTGACAATCTCAACTTCAGACCTAATCTACCCGAAACTATCTTGAAGGTAGAACACAAATAAATATAAACAATAAGCAATATAATTCAATGCAAAATTTAAAAGATAAGAAGAAAAGATAAAATAAATAAAAGATAATATTTAAAAAATATAAAGTAGTTATATTCTTGTTTTCTTAGTTTTAAAAAATAATAATAGTTAAAATGAGAGGCTAAATGGTGGAGATCATTTACTAATAATTACCAAAACACAAAAACGATCAACCTGAAAAATTAGGAAACAATACGAAAATTAAAAGCTCTAAATAAAATAAACAACATGCAGAATTCATGCACTAGAATAAAACTATGTATTAGTGACCTGTATGTTGTCTCGTGTGATTCACCAAGTGCTCCCTCCTCGCAAAAGACTTTCCACATTCTGTACATTTATATGGAGTCTCGCCTGTGTGCTGCCGGGTGTGCACGACGAGGTGGTCCCGCCTCGAGAAAGCCCTCGGGCACACCGAACACTTAAAAGGCGTCTCTCCAGTGTGAGAACGTTCGTGGTTAACAACGTGTTCCCGTCTAGTAAACGACTTGGCGCAAAAACGGCACACGTGTGGTGATTCACCGGTGTGCTGTCGGACGTGGGCGAGGAGATGTTCCCTTCTGGTAAAAGACTTCCGGCAATGGTTGCAGCGGTGGGGCGAAGCGCCTGTGTGCCATTGCACATGAGCAACAAGGTGTTCCTTGCGAGAAAATGATTTTAAGCAAACGTGACATTTAAAATCGGAATCGTGTGCCCTGAGATGAGAGTCAAGATGGTCTTTCCTCGAGAAACGTTTTGGACAAAGATGGCACTCATGAGGGTTCAAACCTACAAATCCAAACAATGATTTATTTATTTGCAATAGTGCTTATTGCTTTATTAATTAATAAGTGCTATTAAATTTAAATTTTGATTGCTATTGAGAATTTTATTGAAATAATATCAAAAAGATGGTTCAATCTATGCATCCAACTTGAACAAATATTCTGCGGTTTGCTGCTTCATTTACTGTGAGGGATGCAAGTCTGGCATCATATAATTTTTTATCACTTTGGTAATTGAAAAAAAAAATCATTTAAATTATTTTTAAGTGCCAGAGAACTGTTTTATACGACAAGCTGGATTCTACTGTGAGTACCAAAATGGTCAAGCATAGGACACAGTCAACGTATCAAGAACTAAAAAAAAAATGGGTATAAAGTAGAATAAGAAAATATTTAATTGTGAAATTTTTTTATGAAAGCTAAGTAGTGGAGGAATAGAAGCTATATTCATTAATTTTAAAAATGGGTATAACATTTCTTTTATTCATATAGAAAATATTAAATTATCACCATAAAAGGACCAAAATCCACAATCTGCATGGCACTGTAGCTATGAAGGAGGTTAGTATCATAATCTATGGTCAGAAAATCAAGACTAACTCAAGCAAAAAGTAATGAACATCAAACATATTTACCTTTACCTGTATGCTTGTTCATATGGTTGGTCAAATGCTCTTTTCTAGTGAATCCTCGACCGCACAAATTACAAACATGGGGCTTTGTCGCCGTCTCAGGAGTTGAAGGAGCCCGTCCTCCCAAAAGCGCGCCTGCTAACAGATTGCTGACTGTTCCGGGCTCGTCCTTGAGTTCGAGACTTTTCCCAAGGAGGCCCCAGTCTTTATCGTTGCCACCTTCAGTTTCCTGCAATAAAGTGTCTCAAATCATTTTTTCCAGGGATAGCGGACAGTGGAATTAAAGAACCTCACATTTGGTAATGTATGGTATCTAGCATGCACAATCAACTGGTAGCGGTACGGGAAAGACTTTCCGCAAATTGTGCAATCATGACCACTTTTCAAGGGACCAAAAACTTCATGGCAAAAAAGTGTGTTCAGTTCCTCTGGACTCATCTGAGAAAAAATATTACAATACATATCATTACAAGCACCAAAGAATGATAAAAGGTCGATTATAGTTATTATATGATTAAATCTCACATAATCCAAAAGATGAACAATTTAAAAGTACTTAAGCATTTACTAATACTTTTTAAGAACTGAAATCAAATTTCAAATCAATCGTAAGTTTTGCATGGAGAAAAAATAAATATTGCACAAAAAATGGATAGTGACAAGAAATCATTTAAATGATACTGTGATGATGATTATATATTCGCTCATATACAAATTATCATGAAAATCCAAAAAGGAATGTAAGGAATTAGACAAACCCCAAAGGTAATTTTATATTTTGAATGAATTGCACAAGGATGTGTCTTGGGACCACTCCATTACATTGTGTATAATGACTTTCCCATTGACAACAAACTGAAGTTGCGGATGATAAAGCAGGTCTGTCACAAAGTAGTGACAGCTCTGGCCACATTCACTCCACCACAGTAATTGATATTCCTTTACGCAGCAAATTCCCATTTATGCTAATAAATTACTTCTCTCTCCAGACATCACACTCTCACCTCAGAGACTTGATATACTCTAAAATGGGGTAGTTCTCTCATTCATTATAAATGAGATATTTTAATTTCATTATTCTTGAAACTGTAAGGGTCAATACTTTGTAACCTTGTAAATCACATACCTCAAAAAAAACAAAAAACAAAAATTATATATATAGTGTCACAATTATTTAAGCCATATAATTTTATACTACACTTTAATATTTATTTTCACTAATTTCGTGGTCTGCTTNAATATATATAATTCAGGCATTTGTTAACAGATTTTGTTAGTTTACAAATAAAAAAATACCTTTCAAAAACAAAAAATTTAATATATAAAAAAATAATCACTTTTGAGTATGACATAAAATGTTATAAAGTAAATGAAAAAAATTGAACAGGATGTGTTACTTCCTCTTATTACACACTCCTATCTTCTCAGTTTGTTGATAATAAAGCGTTTAATATGTCATGAGGAATGGTTAAGGTTGTAGAAGGATTATTTCTTCATTTTACCTGATGTCTAAGCTCAATCAATGGGATTCCAATCAGGGCTACAGGATAGCATCTTAGATTAAGAATATTGACATCACAGAGGTACTGCATAACACAAGCAGCATGGGTTTTTGCATTGTTATGCATAAACAAAAATTGCTCACCAATGACTGGAGCAAATGGCACATTATTAGGTGGCATATTCCTCAAGAATATCGTACATTTCTGCATTAAGTGAGTCTATTAAAAACATACTCCGTTTTTGCCTACAAAGAAATTCTGCCCCACACTATAACTGAACCACCTCCGACTGGCACTCTTCCTCTTTCGGCAGCATTATCCAACTGCTCGATAAACTCAAAAATGTTTAGTGACTTACTTGTCCAAATACATAACATTCCTACATTCAGTTTTTAAACAATGTTGGTGTTCCCTTGCAAACTCTAAACTGTCACTATGTCACTACTCTCTAGTAAGTGTTGAACCCATTGTTGATTCTGGGATGTAGACTCATTTCTGACAATCTTTTTCCTTTCAGCACTAATGGTCACATATTGTACAGTTTGAAGTCTCTGAGACATTTCCGAAGCGTGGAAAAGCGATTTTCAGGCTGTCCAATGTGATAAATCGATCATCAGCTGGTCCTTCAGCTCGAGTGTCCCGATCCTCATCTTGGGAGTACACCTTCCAGTTTCCCTGTATTACTGAATGACTGTCGTTTCAGGCTAACCTAAAACTCATGCCAAGTTCTGCTGACTTCCATCCTCAACCAGTGCAATGACGCTTTGTTACAGAACAAATACATAAACAACGGATCAGGCTGGACCTTATCAGAAATGAAAAGGAGGGCATTCACAGGCCAGAGCTTGATTCGACACATCGGTAATTTGACCATTTAAGGAAATGAAATTTTTTGGACTTGGGAGTTTTTTAAGATTGTATAATTTTAATATAAACTTATACTTAATACATTATAATATAACATTTTATGTATAAATTGGGGCTAATTTTTTTTTTTTTTTTTTTTTTTTTTTTTTTTTTTTTTTTTTTTTTTTTTTTTTTTTTTTTTTTTTTTTTTTTTTTTACGAGGATCTTACGATATTTCAACTAAAGGTAATAAGAACCCTCATGGTGCTGGTGTTTTGGAAGAAAATCTGTAAGTATGTCAGGTCTTACAGTGATGAGTTGCTGTGTCCACACCTTAACCATTGCAATCACTGACCCCCCCACCTAAAAATCAGGCCAGATTTTTCAATACTTTTTTCAAATATCAAAGAAACTCTCATGGGCAATAATTAGATTAAAAACTAGAACCATGCTTGACAAACATGAAAAACAGACCATCTAAAGATCTCAGAAACTGTTGCCCCATACAAAAATAAAACCTCTTGTGTCAATAACAAGTTTTGTATTTACAAAACACTGCCCCCATTTAAGAAAAAAAGTAAATACAAAGTCTTGTCTATTCTATAATTAACACACTGGTCTTTAATTAAAACTAAATGGGGCTGAATTGGTCAAGATTGACCGGGGCATGTTAGGGTATTATTACTATTATGGGCAATGCACAAAGAAAGAAACTATGGTACTGACATGTTATTTGATCTGTAACAATCATCTTGATCCGCCTATCCTCACTGGGTTGGTATGTCAGGAATGTTTAAGCATTTTGCCATCTTCAGAATGTGGTAGATACTCAGTAAACATGATGAAGATGGCAAAATACAAAAACGCTTGTCCCACGAACCAACCCTGCAAGGAGGAAGGGCAGAACAAGATGACCGATAAGGATCAGATTACACTATCATCATCAAGCAGACCACAGAAGGAAATCTCAGGATTAGAACAGTATAAACACACAAGCATGTACACATATAAATATGTACCCATTAAAAAGGGGCTAATATCTAGTTTTCTTTGTCGAATGTTATTTAGGAAGGGTCAGTCCACTTTGGGACTTAAAAATTATTATTTGTTGAAATGATTAAAACTGATCTGGTCCAAAATGACTAGGGTTTCAGAGTTTGATCACTGTTTGATAAATCACAGCTAGTTTATATACGAAGCTTCCACTTAGATTTTTCTAAACGACTGCATCCATGGTCCACAAAATAGTGTCTGTACATTGACTAATTTAAAATTCAAAGCAATTTAAAGTTGCAATCATTATAAATTATGGCAAATGGAAAATAAGTTTTGTGCGACAGTCATTAACTACTGTCATTCGGCAGCCAAGGTGTCACTAATTCGACTATTAAATACTTCCAACAGGCGTAACTTTTTTCATGACATGATCAACATACGCTAATGATTGAACGATGAACCTTTTTGGCAAAACGTTTAGCTATTGTTTGAAATAAAAAATTGCAAATTTTGTTTTCGTACCTTGAGGGCATTCGCTGCCATCGCGTCGTTTTTTGAACTGTTGGCAGGAAATCCCCCCAAGAAGCTGAAATCGAAAAACAAACTTAAATCGTGGAGCTATTCTAATGGTATAATCGTTTAAAAGAAAAAAAAAATTCAAAAAAAGGCCGTCCAACCTCGACGCTGGAACCTCTTCCTTGCCATTTTTTGAGGGGCTACCCTGAAAAGACAGCGTTGATAAATCAATTTTGTCATTTGTAACGCGTGTATAATTAAAATAAGGTCACAGATGCCAAAAACCGATTGTGTTGGGGTTCGAACAATTTCAAAATCTTGACCCAAAGGGGAAACAGTCGGGTAAATCGACTTACGTCTAGCGTCAAAGGATTTTCCATTGTTTCCGTGAGGCCAGGAACTTTTGATTATCACTATTAAATAAACGTACGACCATTTCACAGCTACTTGAGGTTATAGATTAACCAAGTATCGACAACATATTCCCTCCCCCCCACCTCGCCAAGTCGCCACTCCCACTAAATCCGGGTTTAAACACTAAAATATGGTAATTGTTACAAGAAAAAAAGTCACGTTTTAAGAAATTCAAAGTAAATTACAACATGGCATTTTTTTAAATATTTCCATCCTAGTTTCTTCTTGTACCATTCTTACAAAAAATGTCTAATCTAAAAACGTTGGAAAATTGGAGTATTTTCTTGAAATCAGGCTGACCAACTCCAAGTGAGTATAATTTAATCAAACAAACAATCCTTTTCTTTTGTCGACATAGTTAGTTGCTTTTTTTACAATAAAAAAATCATTAGATTAATTTAAACAGAAAACTGACTTGTTGGATTAAATTTTGTTTATTAATCGGCGTGAATTGACAATTTAGGAAGGGCGTGAAGAAGAGGCGGTGTCAAGCAATTAAAAAAGTAAGTTTTCTACTTTACAAACATTACATACATAAATGATAATATGCTTAATGTTTATAACAATTTAAATCAACATACATCAATTTCGTTTTCAACATTGTAAAAGCTATATTATTCTGAAGTATTAGAGGATAATTTAATTAACAATGGTATGGGTATTTAATTTACAAACGGTAGGGGCTTGGTACTTCCATAAATTTCTTGAAACCAACTCTCTGACGGAAGTTTTATAGTCAAGTGTGGTGCAAATTCTAATTCTTATCCTGTGGTTAGCGAAGTTCTGCAAGGATCGCTCATAGGTCCAATTCTATTCATCCTGAACTATGCATGGAATGTGCGGTGTCAACTGCCGATGTATGAGTTGCCATTCCATTTAATTACTAGCATAGGCTAGCAGATTTATTTGGTGAGGAATTCCCTTCTATGTATTATAAAGACCCATGCCTCAAATTATTGACCTAACTCTAATCTATCAAACTTTTCAAAAGCTTTGTAAAACTAATAGTCAAACAGTTACTTATAATAATAATTTTTTTTTTGTGCAAACATTTGTAGAATTTGTTTTAAAAAAAAAACTGTCAACGTGCACATCCCAGGTTGCGAGTGGATAAATATTTGAAGGAATGTGGTTTAATTTTTATTCGAAGGAAGTGATCACATAATCGCATAGAGTCAGCAGTCGGCCGAATTAAAAGTCCTTCGTCACAAATTTGCCTTAATGAAATAAACATTCCATCTGTTGAAACGAAAGGGGGCCACTTTCACAAGGCGAACAGCCACATTTGAATTGAGGAATGAAGAAAATAATAATAAAAAATATCTGTTACTAACAAACTTCATTTAAAAAAAAGAAAAAGAAAACTACATCTATCGGTTTGCAGGAAAGCCCCGATTTTTTTTTTTTTTTTTTTTTTTAACATGGACTCAAAATCAAAAATTCCAACTGATATAATCTACCTTGATTTCTCTAGGGTGTTTGATCATCTCTCACACTTAATTTCCAAACTGGAGGGGCTTGGGATCCATTATATGTTCCTAAATTCCTCGAAACCATCTCTCTGATAGGAGGTTTTAAAGTCAAGGTTGATCAAGCATATTCTAATTCATATCCAGTGTTTAGCAAAGTTCAGCAAGGATCAGTCCTGGGTCCAATTCTATTCATCGTGTACATCAATGATAACTATGATACATGGAATAAGCGTTGTCAACTTTCGATGTATGAGTTGCTATTCAATTTAATTATTAGCACATATTAGAAGATTAAATTGCTGAGGAATTCTCTTCTGTATATCATAAAGACCCATGCTTTAAATTATTGACCTAACTCTATTCTGTCAATCTTTTCAAAATGCTTTGACAAGAGTGGAGAAACTACCCAATGGTGTTCTTTATTTAACCGCTATCACTGAACAAAAGGTCCTATGGCCATCATGGAAATACTTACAAAAATATATGTTACCTATGTTTGACCCATACAATAATTTTGTAAGTAGTATTTGGAGCCCCTACTTTCCAAAAAGACATTAAATTGGTTGAAAAGATGAACTGAAAAAACGTCTTGGGTTTTTTGGTAAATCCTCAAAAAAATTAAAACCATACAGCTACCAGCTTAAATTACTAAATTTAACAATTCTTCATGATTATAGAGAAAGGCAAGATGTCATTGAATTGTATAAATATGACCCTTCATCAACGTTTCTCACTTAACTTGTGGCCATAGCATGAAATTTCATCTTAATTCATCTAAATTCATCTTAATAATTGATCATCATAGTTACTGTTGTAAGAATAATTTATTTACAAATAAATACAAATATGTTCAAAAGTGTGATATAATTAGATGTTTCCGACTCCCTGCCTGTGTACTATCGAATGCAATGTTGTAAATTTAAAAGAACTATTTATTTATAAAGGGAAGAATAAAATAAAAAAAACCTTAATGTAATTTAAGAGTTACCTTAAAACAGAATATGTTTTAAACGTTTATGTTTATATCTTCTGTATTGTAGTGAGGTTACATTATAGTTCACAATACTTTTAATATGTGGGTGACTATTATTTACACAGGTGGAAATAAAACATTTAGTAATATTGTAAACTTGTGTCGATCCACTAACAAAGTTTAATGCGGAATGTAAATAATGTATTGGAATCCACCTAGGAAAGGAAACAATCAACCTTAGACACTTGTTTTGAACTATTTGTAACTTAGAATAGTTAGTATTACACATTTGACCATACCATTAATTCGGAGCTGCATACAGTTTTACTGATCTAATGTAAAGATAATAAATAAATTTTTTATTTGTTGTGCTAAGCTTCTTGTTTAAGAGAGGAATGAACTGCAGATTATACTCAATGCCTTGTCATACACTTTATTCACTTGCTTAGTAAATGTTAATTTTGATTCTAAATTTACCCCTAGATATTTTATTTCTTTTTTCCAAGAGTATTCTGCCATTTACAACAACATCTCTATTAATGTTTGGCGATGTTTAGTAAACAATTTCACTTCAGTTTTAGTTTCAATGGGTTTAATCCACCATTTGTGAAAGTTTTTGAAGCACTTCTTGAGAACTATAGAGAGATGATTGGCAATAATTTCTCTTCTATATGATGAGATAAAGAATATATCATGCATACAATGCATAACTACATTTAGTTTTCATTTTAGTTAAATCATTGATGAATATGTTAAATAAAATAGGTCTCAGAATGGATCCCTGGGGTACCCCAGCTGAGATAGATCTACTGATGATACAGCATTACCATCCTCTACATGGAATTGTTATTTTCTAAGTAGCTTTTTATAAAATAAACTAGATACTTGGGAAAATTTGCTTGAATTCATTTGAAAAAAAGACCCTTGTGCCTTTTCAACTTCTATTAGTGTCATCCTAGTATGCTTGTTCAGGTTAAAGTTGGGTTCAACAATGTCAGTCACTCTAGCTAACTGTTCAACAGTAGAATGATGCCTATGAAAGCCATATTGTTTATTGAAATGATATTGTTATTTTTTATAAACATGTCAACCTTTGCACTATATGTGTAGTAGTTAGTGACCGTTAATTAATGATTATTTGGAGTTCGTGAGATGCGGTCTTGTAGGTTTAAAAAAACATTTTATTTATTGCGCCAACATTTCAATCTTTATTTACTTTATGTAGATAATCTTCAGGGCCTGGGATTTACAAACATTGATTACCTTATACAAATACATGTAAGATGTGAAAATGAATTTATACAATGATTTACATATGAAATGTTGGCACAATAAAGAAAATATTTTTCTAAACCCACATCACACAAGACAATATTTCACGATCTCCAAATAATCTTTTCACTATAATGCGCTGCTCAACTACCTTGCTTATACACGTCAGAAGAGAAATAGAGCAAAGTTTGTTTTGTTTAAAGAAATGTTTTGTAAAAGATCTTGTATCTTATAAATAATCCAATTAATTATTCTTTTCATCGAAGGTTTTTGGTTGAGATGAAAAATTAGTGTCACAAGCGGGATTTGAACCCACGACCTTCGGCTCAATACGCCGCTGCTCTAACCACTTGAGTTATTGTGACTTTGATTCCCCTGGACACCAACTTTCAACCTCAACATACAGTAGGAATTTTTCCTCGTTTGCCATATTTTCAAATGTCGTGTAATCAGGATTCAATTCCCAGCGACTTATGAAGTGGCCACGGGGAGCTATTAGTGAAGTAATTACTTCTTTTGATTATTAAATTAATCCATATTTGTTTAGAGGTCATAATTGACCATATTAATTATTCAAATTGATTATTCTTTTCATCTAAGGTTTTTGGTTGAGATGAAAACTTAGTTTCACGAGCGGGATTTGAACCCACGACCTTCAGCTCAATATGCCACTGCTCTAACCACTTAGCTATCGTGACTTCGATTTTTTTTTCATTTCAACCAAAAACCTTAGATAAATGAATAATAAATAAAATATGATCAATTATGACCACTAAACAAATATATTATTTATAAATAATAAAGATTAAAGACTCTTAATATAAAAGTTCTTAATATAAGAAGTTTTATATTAAAAAAGACTTCTTAATAATAAAAATTAAAATTAAAAGATTTCTTAATATAAGACTTCTATAGACAATAAAGACTTTCAAAAAAGAATACACTATATCTATGTTTATAAGAGGAAAATGAATAAGTTGGCTAGCCTGCTTTTTTAATTATCAATTATAATTGTTAATTAATTAAAGCTTAATTTAAATATATTTAACTTGAATTTTAAAATATTGAAATTGTTGAAAAATTAGATGTTGAAAGATTTGTTCTAACGTTTAATGGAAAGAATGTGGACATGTTGAATGTGGCGGTGAGGCGACGGCAGTGCTGCCTCGAGGTGAGATGCGGAATTAAGTTCAAGTCCGGCTGTGTGAGGGACCCTTTGGGAATGGGATTCGCCAGTTGTGTGTAAGACGTGTGCTCCGCCCTTCTCCAACGAACCTCGAAGGATCTCCCGTCCGTTTCCGGCAAACTGTGGATTACCACACCTGAAAATCGACCCGAGGGGAGCCCGCTTTAA